CTCAATCAAGGCTATTTACGAAATCACGTATTCAACAGTCGCTTGTTCTTAATTTAATTGGCCTTTGTTGAATTCCGCGTGGAATAATTAAAATTTATGTGATTGGATTACCGAAGTCTTAATTTAATAAATTTTAATTAGTTTGCCGATTCCTGGCCGCGCCTCGACCTTAATGTGCGCTAATTTAAATTTAAAATTTAAATTGGGAAAAACATTAATGAATGATGATCGAAAACATTGTTTTTCGTCTGAAAATGTTAATGAGAATTGATCCGTTGAAATAAACAGACGAAAAATATTAATTTCAATTTGCGAATTGTCGTGGAAAGTATCTTACTTAAGAAAAAACGAGTTGGTATATACTGAGCATTTTCTAACGCAGATGTTATCAAGATGAATAGGTGGATACAGAGGTAGTAAGAGGGGAACAATATTTCGTCGTTAAAATTGGGAAGTATTGGTGTATACGTTCTAATATTTGTTACCTAAGCTGAACTTCATAGTGGTTTGCGGCGGGTCTAGGGTTAAGGTTATTAAATTAGTCAAGGAAAGGAGTTTTGACATGGAATTAATTAATATGTAAGATTAACGAGAATCGAATTGCAGCGGAATAATCATAGTTATATAATATTTACCGATATCATGTTGTGTTAACTTTTGATGTACCGCTCGTTTATTAGACTATTGCATTAAGATAACAATCAAGTATAAATCGGCTAGTACATGTTCACGAATTTTCGGCCACATAATTTGAATAATTTCTATAATATAGCATAAAATTATATTAAACATTGAAAGTCGAGGAGTGAAATTGCAAATTTTGACGAGATTCCTATCCGAAAAACGATTAATCCCATATATTTTTTAGTATGGACTTATTTAAAATTACGTAATTTTTTGTGTTTACCTCAATTTGGTTTAACAAAATTAATTCATGAATTTGATGAAAAAATGTGGCTTTCAACATCAAATGAGTAACCGTATATTTCTAAGAATTACCGAGTTGTTGAAGAGTCCGAATGCTGATAACATCACAGGATTTGGTTTTGTTCTCAAATTGCTTCAAACGATTGATATTTGCTTCTTGTTGATTACATTGTTGTGGTTCGTGCGTGAAAATAACAACTCGGAAAATAACAACTCTTTTTTAATTGAGTGGCAGTTTTGATTTAATGAATTTCGGTTTTCTGATTTTTAGGCTATGGTCAGTATATTTGTCACCATTTGTCATCTTGTCAATTGTAGAAAAAGATAAAACCTGAATTAGCATTAAATTTTTACGTGAATATTAACCATTTTTCCTAGGTTCTGTTTAAAATCTTAAATAAAACACTCAACACCACTAACAATCTCAGCGCATAACATTAAATACTATTATTAATATTTAATCCAATCCAATTAGTTACTTAGTGACGTCGCCATTGATCAATGATCAGTACAAAACTGATTACAAATCGGACTAAAATTCGATCCAGGGTTGTAAGTAAGTTCGATCAAACATGGCGAATTGATTATGTGTTACTTTTATACACATTTTCACCAAGGTCCATATCTGGTCAAATTTTGCTTTGTAAAATGTTTGTGCCCATAAACGAATTAGTGTATATTTATCTTGGTTGTTTTCTCATCACCGTGATTAATTATTTCTCCCGCCATCTCCCGAAAGATAAAAACGAGAGAATCTGGAGAGTAAAAAAGAGAAAAACATCGTCGCGCTTCATCAGAGTTGATTCAATGTTACATGATTGGGAATTTGGACGGCGCATGCCTATAATTAAAATTGATATTTTCTTCTGCACTCGCGGTCCTATGGGAAGATTTTTTTAATTCAATCGAACAAGAGATTTTTTTTTAATCAGTATTCAAAGGCAGTGTCTGTGTGCGTGCGCGCGGTATTCGTAGATCTCGGCCCTCGCAGGAATAGCTCAGATCGTAATGATTACGTCTCCTCTCATTAGTGTGGTCATTAGGTGGATAATAATATTGACAATGGAGTTGTGACTTTTGGGATTGTTTACCGAGACAGTCGAGGTGAGGCTAGCAGCTTTGCAGTGTTTAAACGGCGGTGAAATGTAGTCGGTTTTTCTCGGAAGACGTATTAAGGAATGATACAAACATCTAGATATTCGTACATGTGTTCTGCAGAATAACTGTCGATATTCGGATTGACCGCACTTGGAGGAAAGCCTTTGTGATGACGAGTAAAGATTATGTTTCACACGGCAATCTGCTTTTTTGAGAATAGCTCTAGATAGTGTATGCGTATTCATATTTTACCTTATAATACCGATTTTTTTGTATTGGCAAAATAGTATAAACGTTTTACCATTCTCGTCTGGTGTGTGGTAACATAAGATAACAACTTGCGTCCCCAGGTATGTACTATTCAAATTTGAACCTTGTTTAGCAAGACTCGATTGGTAATATTGTTTACAAATTCTATAAAATATATTTCCCATGAAGATTTGAATATACGAAACATTTCTTTACGATGTTGATACCGAGGTCAAATTAAAAATTTGTATCAAGCTGTGATCCAATTAATTAATGAACAACTAGTCTCTGTGGTATATCGCCCTATACAAGTTTGTTTCAGATTATGCACACATTTGTACTGATTGTCAGATGCAAGGATGTTCCAATTTCGCGGTTCCAAACTACTCGTTTATCTATCTACACGTTGTTTGGTCTAAAAGAGCTTATTTTGGGGTCAATAGGGTCAATGTTTTCAATGTCGTTCAGCTCCGTGAACTTAAATAATAAGAACTGAATATCTTGATTGGATTATTTTCATTTGAACTCGTTCCAAGAAGTTGAAAAAATAAAGCTGATTAAAATACAATTAAGAAAATTAACCCTTTGTGTGACATGTTCCGTATTTCATTTCCTTAATAGTGGTCGACGCCTTAATGTCAACCCGCCCAGCAAAATATTCGGATTTCAAGTATACACTGGGCGCCAACGGGTTATTTTTGATAATATATTAAAAATAATATAACATATCATAGTTCGATGAGTCGGAGTGGATTATTATTTCGAAATCACGTACGTCGGAACGAAAGTTTAGTTTTATTAAGACTGTATAAACATTCAGTGATTAATTAAATGAGTAACGGATAAATTGCGTTCTATTGAAAAATTATTAAGTTCAGTCGTTCTTTGGCAACGCCCAAACTAAAACAATAAATGTATTTGATGAATATGTTTTCACTCATCTTTAGGAAACGAAATATGTATCGAGTATTTATTTATTAGATATGGAAGTGTAAGATAATGAAGGCATTGCGAAACCAATCAAGGGCTTGAATCTGAATGAAAGACATGCTGGTTATTTTTCGCTTGTTCATACTAAGTATCAGAGAAAACCCCATCATCAGGCATACCGTTCCTACCCTTACTCTTTTTGTACAGCCAAAAAGAAGACGCAAATGGCGATTAGGAATGTTGAGTACAATTATTTTAATGACATTTCAAGTTCAATTCCTCAGCGGTTAAATGAAGTATCTTTCTTTCAGGCCGATATTTTATTTATTTACTGTTTTACTTTTTATATTTCATATATAATATAGCGTACACTAAAATAATTTTCTCTTTCATGCCCAGTTTAAACCTATATGTGCTTACTGGTATTTCATGAAATTAAATTAAGTATCCATGACGAAAGAATAATTTAATGCTTTACGCAACTTTTCCCCGCTTCCCAGTTGTCAAACATTCATTTATTTTTCGTGTTGGCTCATAATGAAGTTAAAAATTTTTTTACTATTCTGTTCGCATCATGGATTGCTTTGGGGGTTTGGATTTCATATTTACTCAGTAATCATTATCTTAATCTCATATCAGTAAAATAAAATTGTAGTTTCTGCTTCCATGTTTTTGTGTCTAGGTGAAAAAAAGTTCAATTTTGAATATAGGATTTGGTTTGGACCATTCCAAGACTAAATAAATTCTATCGGAACTCGAAAGTTTATGTGTTCAATACCAACGTGATATCAATTTGAATACCTTAAAATTATGTACAGCCTCATATCGCATTTAAATAAGTACACTTTATTATTTTTAACTCATAGAAGAGAAGTGACGATTCAAATGGACTCTTATTATTACTTGAGCTTATCACGCATCACAAAGCCTAATAAGATATTCGTAGAAAATGACGGATTCCCAAATTAAATTTTCAATTTTAATTTAGCTGATTAAATTGTCTGCCTCATAATCTCATAATTATATATAGCTGGATCATTGTCTCCACCGTACCATTATCTATTGATGACTCAATAGGATTTTGGAGTAATGTTAGAGGAATTTTCCTATTTTAATTAGAGAATAACGGCTTACATAATAGTTAACCCTTTCTTTCACCGGGTTCATAGCCAAAACTCTAATGTTATTCCAAGCAAATATATATTAAGATATAGTATGCAAAGTAGATTTTTCATTTGTTTACTTGTTATTGTCACAGTTTTTAATAACGAGCGAATATACAAAGCGTAGTTGTTCGTGAGGAAATATTTTGTGGTGGATATAGATCAATTTAAAATCCAACTGTCGATATCTAACCTGATTATTATTAAATGTGGTTCTGTAGACGTCATTCAATATTGTATACATAAATGAATAAAAGCATAAGTTTTTTTTTATAATCCGTGATTGATGATGCTCAGTTTTAAATTAGTTCCATTGTCAAGATGATTTGAAAGTAAACGCGTCACGTGTTCGTGACACGGATGCCCATCGGAAGTATCGTTTTCATTCAACTTATACATACATGTTATATGTATCGGAAGTGTCGTTTAATAATTAAATCTATTTCACAAGGATGAGACACATTTATTTTATATAAATAACTAAACCAATTATGGTAAAAATATGCGGAGGCTGATATCAAGCATGAACTATAGTATAAAAAGAAATAAGTCTAATACGCTTGTTTAAATGGCGTATGAAATTTTTTATATCACGAAATGCCTTTTTTATGGGTGTTTTGTTATTATTTACAGCTTAAAACGAATTTTAGTCTTCATTGCAAAACGGAGAAGCACACTTCCAAGCTGCAACTAATTAATCACATTAGGGAAGGAGGGGAAGCGAACGAATGGAAAATAAACTATGCAATTGCTGGCAACAATATGAATGTACGTATTAACAAATTTTAGCATACTATTACATTTAAATTATAAATTATTACGTTCTTTGTTGTTTTTCTCTTACACTAGGAATGCGTTCAATGAGTTCCAAGCTTTTCTCACGTACGTGTCAAATATTGCTTATATACTTTACTACATACAAATGTGAGATGTTTCAAAATCTCTTCCGAGATACTTGCTCACCAATATAATTGGAATTATTTTAATAACAAATTGATAGCAATATTGTTTTCTAAACTAACAGACCAAGTGGTTTATCGTGTTTACAGCGCTTTAAAATTTCATTATAAATGCTGCATGACGTCGCCATTACTTTTCGATTACTTCACCAGTGAATTAATATTTGAAAGACCAATGTGTTCATCCTCCCATTACCGTTACAAAGTTATTAAAAGCAATCATCAATTCCTGATTAAGACAAGAGGTCTGGTAAAAGTTAATCGTCTGAATCTGCGGTCACCAGGGAGTCGTAATTGCGCATAGTGTTGATTAGTGAACCCATGATAATCATAACATGGTGCAGTTTCCCACGGTTTCAATCCAAAACACAGCACGTGTTCAGCAACTAGTCTGGTAAACAACAGCGTATCAATTATCTAATAATAATATTTTCTCTTAATTAATTTTGACTTTTACGCCGAGTATGTTGGGCCGTAGCATGGTCGGTATATGTAAGGAGGTATTAACAACGTTGCATTTTAAAATGTGCTTAAATTGGTTGGTTAAGGTATGTTGCGCGTAGGCACTGCTTTTTCGCATATTTAAACCTGTCTAACAGATGTTAACGATATTTGGACCTTTGTACAAATGAAAACCCGTTTTACACACTGAGCAAATCTGAAATGCAAATTGCACTTCAAGTTTGTTTTTTGAATGAATTGCCGGAATGTGTAATCCACATAATTGATAATAAAATAGTGTTTGATTTTCAATGTCATTATAGACTATGAATTCTATAGCTGGGCTTTGCATTCAACTTCAACGTACTATTTAGCATCAAAAACGTACGCCGTGCATTCAACGCGGCTATGAGTTTTCTTCTCTGCGTCATGGGAGGCACCCAATTAAACATCGACAATGACATTTCGAATATTGAACTTATTCTGTTACATTTGCAGAGAGTAACATGCAACGGATGTCGGCATTCAGCTACTAGTACCGATAAACTGAGAATCCACTGTTCCACGGACCGTCACCAAGGGACGTTAACAATGTGCCACGTACGTTTTTAATTTAATATAGCCTAAAATAAAACGGTAAAACAAAGAGACTTTCATAGAGTTACCAGGAGGTGATGATATAGACAGGTACCGGTAATATCATAATTAAAAGTTTATTCGACTCACCCTCGATCGTTTCATTTAAATTCTGAGTTTATTGTGTACATTTTATTGTGATAGACCACATCTTGCTTGACATTTCATTGCCCTACCGACTTTACCGGCACTATGTTTTGGAAATTGAGTCGTTCGCATCTTGTGGCTTGGGCGCGCTTTTTCAGTCACGTGTTTAGGTAACTCGAGCGTGAAAGGACAAACAAAAATGTGGCCTTTTATTACTCCTATTGCCATACCCTTATATGTTAGTATATTCAATATTATATATGCCTTCGGGCCTAAATTTCCAAGCTTGCAGAATTCCATTCACGTGGTTGTGAAATCATAGAATCAATCCTTCGAATAATAAGTTTTTTCAGTTTTATCATGCCGAAACAATTTACAAATTGCGCTTTGAGGAATATCACTAGCTTGCATATATGAATAGAATGCGTTTCTCAAAGAAAATATAATTTTTTGCAGAACAACGCAACTGGTACAAAAATAACACTCCAGTCAGAAAGTGAAACCTTTTCATGTTGTCGCGCTGATAATGCGGTTTCTCATTGCTAATTGTTTAATGAACGCTATTTAGGTATATGAATAGGGTTCACTCAATACAGACATACGTTGCCACCTCAATTCAGTATTGTTCCTAAAATATTTCTATGATGCACCAAAGTTATAACACAATGCTGGTTTCATCCGGTACTTTTCTTGATTATTATAATGCATAATCTATGTTGCCTAATTTCCGGGTGGTTCCTTACCTATGTTACATGTTGTAAATAGGCTTTTTGTATATGGAATTTCTATAGAATTTCATAATCGCACCCAAAATTGCTGATTCGTTACTTATTTCCTTCAAAAACTGACTAACTCGTGTCTTATTCAATGATCGGAAACTCTGTTGTTCATTCTACTTGTTTAATATTTTGTTAGTAAGCAAATGTAACCTATTTTGCTGTGGCGTACGGTAAAAAGACGAAATGATAAGTTTACGCGACCCAGTTATCCCAATCCTTGAATGCTAATATTAATTTGAATATAATTTCACTGTATTCGAATTACAATCTAGTCATAATATCGCGTGGTCGAAATAAGATCTTAATATTACGTCAGACAGCTCACCTCGACGCTATGCATGATTTTTCTTACAAAGAGTTTTTATTGGCAACCGCAGTCGGTGATAACTACGGACGACTTCAATAAACTGCAATATATATAGGTTTGATAAGATTTTTAAGTTATTTCAAATCCAATGATAACCGGGAAGGGTCATTCAAACCACAGTAATTACAGATTGATGCCCAACATGTATTCATGTTCCAACTCTACTAGTATTCGATCCTTCATGAAGTCGTCACCTCCAAATCCCACCTTTGCCTAATTTAATAATAACAAATATTTCGTTAAATTTACCGCAAAATTTGATTGCTTCACTACGCATCACTGTTTTCAAAATTCGATAGGTCGCATTTTGGACAATTTCCGGAGCAACAATGATGCGCCCTATCATGTCACCTTCCTATGAGCCTAGCTACGAAATTGGATAAGTTGGGAATAGTCATTGTTTCAGCGACTGCGAAATCCCCATTATTGAAATTCATTTATTACTAAGCAGCTACTCATATTAAGGTCAATAAGCGATACATAATCGGGACTTCCCGATTCGTTATTATTCACGAATCTTCATCCGATGAAGCATAATTTGTCTTTAAATGAGAGAAATAAGTAAAACGTTTAATTTTTAGTTATTACTAATAGTAAAATTTAAACGCGATGGGGGATATATATGCGTGAGCACATTCTTCTGCTCGTCAGATTGCAAACTCCGCGACAACCAGGGGATTTAATTGCCTATAGTGATTAAGGTGAAATCGGATCAGAATAGTTACGACTTCGCTTGTGAAAATTTTTTTTTGCAACCTGTGAGAATTTGATGTATGTCACATGTAAGTTTTGCTGTATATCAGAGAGGGACCTGGTTATATAAACTGTGATGCATTAATTATTTGACTGTGACATATTAGTGCTGATAGAAATTTTCTATATTTTTCAGTATTTAGACACTATGCTTAAAGATGCAGAATTGGGTAAAGGCCTGCACTCTACATCAGAAGGCATCTCCTCGCACCATCTTTTATGTCACCCATGCGCCTATCAATCAAAGGTAAGTGTGATTGCTCCAATAATGCTTCCAACAAAGCTTCTGAACTAAATAATAAGAAAATCTTTCTTTTTTAGTTTGTTGTTGAGATGATACAACATATGCAGTGCCCGAAGCATCAAGTAAACGTTCATCAAGAGCAACAACGTGTTGGTGCTAATTTAGCTGATATGGTTTCTGCAGAACCTGATCATACTGATGGCGAATCTCTGCATTCGCAAAATGAAGAAGATAACATAAAGAAAGAAACAGGTTGATATTTTGAGTTTTATTGGCCAGGGATATGGGGTCTGTAAAAAAAAGACTATAATTTGGCGTTTCATACATATTTTAATAAACTTATCGAATTCTAGTTGTTGACACCACGCGTCAAAGTATAAATCATATACAGTGCAGAAGAATTAACTTTTTGTACAAAAATATGAGCTATACAAAAATGGTATTTTATTACAATAATGATGACTATCTTTGCAATTCACGTGTTTTACAAACAATTAATTCCCTAATATTAAATCGATTGACCTTACCAAATCCGCATCAATTGGTTTTGCCAAAATCTAACCGTCAATCCGTTTGTTATGTATATTCTGCTTATTTTGGATTCTCATCTTATTACTGTATCGCACGAAAAAGGCATATTGAAAATAATATTCTAAATGTATTTTTAGAGTCGAACGACGATCAACAAATTGGAGACAAGATCGATGAAAATACAGAGGAAATACAGGTATAGAAAAATTTATCAATAAAATCTGCTAAACAACTCAAAAAACCAGACAGAAATTATACTGATTGTTTACGATTTCCCTCGTCTGCTTTAGTTTGAGATACTGCAACTCTTATATTCAAATATTAATCCATCAATTTGATTTTCCGCTGTGTACCCTTGGGCGTTTTGATTGAAGTAATTGGAATCTTTGCCATCAGAGTAAATTAATTCATTTGACTAATCAATCGTCAACTATTTATATAGTATTTTACTAGTTATTTTTGGTAGACTGAATAAAACATTTTGGGATTGTTTTTGTGATTTCACTTTTATTGCTATCAGTAATTTCCCTTTTCTGTCGATTTTAATAAATCAGTCGGTTTCAATTTTTCTAATTTTAAATATAAATGTTAGACTGCTCCAATTTTTGTAATCTAATTTTAAATTGGGACGAGTTTTGACCAGATGGTTTTTATAAATAAACTTCAGATAAAATTAGTTTTACTTCTACGAGTTGCTTAGCGATTTAGACTCCGCCGACTCGGAATGGTCGGAAGTTGTTCTATTTTTAATACATTTAAGTTATTTAGGGCGATTCAGTTTGTTTAGTTTGATATAAATTTTGACTGGAGTATGCGAGTAGCGCTAAAAAGTCGAAAACTGTAGATTTAAAATGGACACGGGCACGTTTTTGAAAAGTAATAATCACTTGAAATTTTAACTGCCCTTTTTACTTCTTAATATAACGAGTTGACTGAAATTATCATTGATATGCATATCGCCGACCTATATCAGAATATATTGTATTTTTTTTTCAAGTACCAACAATCGTAGCCACTCATTTTAATTGCGATTTAGTGATTGTCTGATAATGGAGTGGCGTCGCAACACTTAACTTAAAAACTATTATTTTATCTATATCAATCCAACGTTCGACAGGGTATTATTTTGTGGGATTATCGACGTGGAAACCGTATATTTGCTTATCGCTAATATGCATCGTAATAAATGGGGGTTAGTAAGTCACTAAATGTGCCAAACTAATTAAACTACGACCCTAACCTATATTTTAAGACTTTGTTAGTTTGAAAATTCCAGTGAGTAATTTGCACCTGAGCAAGGCCAACTAATTTGCACTTGTCCAGTGTATTCACTAAATGAACCATTTCCTTTGCGATATTTTAACATAATATGATATATTCTCGACATTTTTAAAGAATTTTCTTCGGAAGTATGCTAGCCCAGTCAGCGAATGAATAGTCAAGTTTTTTGTGTAGAGTTTGGCGATGATATAATTTTTCAAACTCACAACGGCGAACGGAAGTCAAAATTTTAGAACAAATGCTCAGGTTCTATATATTGATTCCAATTTTTAACATCTTCATCGAGCATTCTATTTGAGAGCCGTACATTTCGCAATAAAAATTCCCCAATTTCAGCAAAACTCCACTTTAATTTATAGAATCACAAATGTCAGTTCTGTAACTATAAAACGACAGAAGAAAATCGGCTTCAGATTCATATCATGACACAGCATAATGCTCGACCAGCGATCAAATGTCCTATGTGTACGGTAAGCTATTTTTATACCATAAGCTTTTTTTTATTGTTTAGTAGAGATTTAAAACAAAACCAGTGGTTTCGATTTTTGGTGTTCCCTTATAATGATTCACAGTGTTCCCATACTTTTGTTTCAGGAGTTTATGCACGACACTTTACAATTTCAACTTCACTTAGTACAAGTACATAAATTAGCTTCCGGTCCATTGGAAACAAAAACGGAAAATCCAACACAGAGTCCGGAAAGAAGATCACCAACAAGAACAATTGGAGGTTAGTTATGTATTGTGACGTAATTACTACGCAATAAAGGAATAATATCAGACATTTCATTTTGGTTGTTCATATTTCAAACAGAATTTTTGTAACTTTTTCATACCGTTTTAGGAACATTGGAAGCGATTCAACTTCCTCTCAAGGTCTCAGGCGAAACCATGAACACTGGTGGAGAAAGAATAGACTCGACGCAGACTTCTGGGTCAAAGGTAGTTTTGCTTAAAACAAGACTCAAAATATTGAATTAAAATTCCTGAAAATATTTTCTCAAAATACAAATATATTTACGAACTAATTGTGAACAAAGTTGACAATGCAATCGATGTTTTGTAACAATAAAACTCTAATTTCGGTTTTTGTTTCCGCATTTTTATATCGTATTTTTTTATTTTTTTGCCGTGAAATTTGAAACCTAAATAATTATTTACGATTCGTGAACTTACCGCAAGTTATCACCTTATATAATGTGATTAGAAATAAGATTTCCTGGTAATGACCGCAAAATGACGTTATCACTAAAATATGAATTTTCATATCAATATATTACTAATTTTAGTCAAAAATAGCATGGCAGCGTAATCAAGATTAGACTTGATAACGACGGAATCGTTTATTTGTTCTTGAACGCAGGAACGTCAAAATCACCCCGGAAGCGTCGAGTCGTCCGCTGACGCCTCCGCTTTTTATTCAGTTATTTTGTTGATCATTTTTCTTCAAAAATTAAAGATTAGCATTTAATAAATGTATATGTCAAAACATTTTTGAAGATATTTATCGTTCATTGTTGCGTTAAATTTCAATTTTTGAATATGTTTAAAAACAAGGTGGTTATTTTACTTGTATTCATAAGTTATTGTGATTCTTGTTTGGAATAAAATAAGGTACGATTTTGGTTTTAGCCATTTATTAGCCAGTAATATATTGGGCCTAAACAGTAGATATATATATATTATATCTGGCTGGTTCAATTATTTGACTTCTGGTGAAAAAAATTAACCTATTGATCTCTTATAACATTGTAGCCGATATAGACTTTCTCAAATTGAGAGCCGGATGTTTAGGCTCCCATTGAATATGACTGCCGGCTATTTGATTAGCAAACCAGGGTTAATTAAGTTGCAATCATTTTACTATCCCGTTCATTATCCCCCATCTGGCTCTGACATACGTCGATACATCATAGATAGATTCTTCACAGCTGTACAATTTGGTTGACAAAGCTCATCTCGGCTTGTGAACAATGCACCAGAATCGTTAGCTAATTAAGTTGAAGTCATACCGTACGACACTAATAATAAGGTGTAATGATCGCGATGGTGTTTTTTTGGTTTAGTAATACAAACTTACTTGACACGATTGCAAAAGTATAAATGTATTGACTGAACGTGGAAACTCAGCTGCCTTTACCGCTGTTCGTAATTTGCACTTTCTATTAAATTGGGATTAATATCCCACAATCTCCAAAACTATCTAGGTTTGGTGTTATTTTGTATTGTTACTTAAACCAAAACAAGATTGCATAAGCATGAATGTGTTTCCTGAATGTTAAAAACTTAGTGCTAACAGCCACATTAACCACTAATCTTAATATACACTTTCTATTAAAATGGGCTTATTGCGGACCCAAGAATATCTAGATTTTTAGTTATTTTGTATTGTGTTGCAGTCTGAAAAAGTTACAACTGCACCAAAGCAATAATTTTTATTATTTAATATTTTTAAAATGTCCTGCTCTCGCATCAGGCAGGGATTTGGCGCACATGGCCTAATTTGCATACGTTTTGCATATGTGTCGATAAGCATTAGTTCCAGGAGTACACTGTTTTCTCGGAATCGAATTTTGAATGCGAAGTCTCCTTTTGATGAACTTTTCGCCTTCTGGTATAATTTATTATATGAAAATGATGCTTAATATTTTTTCAGGTTCATACGGGTTCTTCTATTTACGAAGAAAACAACAATCCTGATAAAACTTTTTCCGAGCAATGTCGGCAATGTGGAGACACACTGACTTCACAGGAAAAATGGCAGGTAATTATAAAATGCCAAATGATCCGTATTAAATTTATCAATTGCGTTCAAAACCACAGAACAAGATATCTGATTCAAATTTGTTATGCTTGATTATCTACAAATATACTAAAAACAAATTGAGGTAATAAATCAAAAAATCAACTTGCTGTACTCAGTGTAACACTTCCATTATAATGACCATAACTTTATATCAGATGAAATTAGGCTTGGAGTTATTCCACAACAGATGTTCAAGTGTGAGACTGAGAACATTCCTCAGCCATGCCTTTCAATCAGTAAATCGTAAGGTCGGTCGCTTTAGATGTCTATATATTGTGGTGTTCTACACGTTAACCGCCGTCTTTCATTTTTGACGTTATTTTTACTGTGATGTCATCAAATCTGTCTCAATGGCGTTGCTAGAGCTGTTTTCATTACAACTTTCGCGTCTTGCGTTTGAATCCGAGGGGTATGGACCACACCAAGGGGGGTTATATTTCAATCAGTTTTACAGTGTCTAGTTGGGGTAGTTTAAGTGAGCTCATATCGGAGAGTGATAATCATCTGACTTTGAGATAGCCTGTTAGATGTACGAATAGTTTTATGGTCCCAATCGCCATTTGAATGTCGATGCCTCTTTTCTAGAAGGTTTGTTGCGGTGCTATTTTACAGCAATCTACACTATAAATTTATGCTGTTTGTGTCTATACACTACTACCTTGTAGCGTGTACATTAGATGGACATCAGCAGGAGTTAGCTCGTTGTAAAGTGTCTAATACAATACATTTTCAGCTTCATTTGGAGATCCATCGAATCCAAGCAAGCGCTCTCGCCTCTGCATCTCTCTCGACAAGAAACGAAAAGACCTGTGAAACTTGTCGTATGACGTTTTCTTCCGTCAATCAATTCCGTCAGCACTTGCATGTATGTTTGTAGTGAATTATCTGTGACGTCATTTGATGACGTAAAGTGTATATCTCGGGCACAGACTGCCATGTAGAAGCGGGAGGTTGCGTTGATCAAAGTAATTTAGAGTTGATCTTCGATTTGATTAAAATCTGACATTTTATGCAGTTTTTACTTGAAAAGGGTTTTTCTTCATAAAATTGATTCCTAGTGTGCTTTCTCGTTTCGATCATAAAATGGCGGTTTTGGTATAGTACATTCATAGCGAAAATTCTAGAATTTCAATTTAATTTACAATAACTTATCGGGTTTTTACCCCGTATATCGTATCTCAAACATGGTTTTTTATATAGACGAAACACGGCCAAACATGGCCCAGGAGTGATCAGCAAGAAGACAACGAAAACGAACATTCACGGAACATCATTGATGAAGGTTTGAATAAGATTAGCTAGAAATAATATAGATATGGCTCTATTATGGACCGTGTTCCTTATATACATGTGTTCTAAGCTGAATTTTTCTTTCGAATATAAATGAATGGTTTATCGTTGAAAAATTATCGTAATTTGTATAATACGAAGTTGCGAAAGCGACATGTCTGTCTCATAGGGCAAGAATGCGACAATGCATTCTTATCAAATTTCTAATCTGGCAACAGAAAGGGTTCACTGTAAACAAATATTTTTTGCATGTTCTATTTATCTAATTCTATTTATAGCGGATGACACATTTCATGAGTTTAATGATACGGTTTTGATCAATTTTCTGTTTTCTCGAAACAATAATGTGGTTCCTTAATGAAATTTTGTGGAAAAGTGTGTTTAGAAAAATAAATAATCGTTTTTAAATTAGTTCATCAAAAAAAAAATTAACATTTTTTTCTTATCTCGAAAATTTATTTTTTTTAATTTTTATGCCTTTTAGATAATCCTTTATCAAATGCTCGTTCTCTCCTGAACGCCATATGTAGTGATAATGAATTTGCCACAAAAGCAATGAAAGATCCGGGCTTCAATCGTGTTTGGGAAACACTCGAGGCTCCTTTCACGTGCAGGTAAATGCATATGGTTCACCAAAGAATATTTATGAGTATTTGAGAAAAAAGATTTTTGATCATTTTTATATTGTGGAAAAAATGCTAATTTTTGAATAAATTTATAAAATCAAAAGCCACTGGAAAGCAGAAATATGCAAAATTATAACGGGTCTATGTCGATGCATATGATTTAATGCCTTCAGATGTTTCTCCTTACAATGTCCTGTCAGAAATTTTACTCCCTATATTGTTAACAGTAAAGCGCGTAAAGCATATTTGATAATCAACTGTTTTTCATGTGTTTATTTGACGAGAGCTGACCGTATCATTTAACCCCGTATCGTGATTTTTGCTTTTACATCCCAGCCCTTGTGAAGAGACCTTCGTATCAAAGAACGATTTATTAGACCATATTATGGCTTCCTCTGTCCATATGGGTCGCAGTGAATCCAATGAGGAACGAAATAAATCAGCGGTTGACGCGGATGCGTCGGCTGAACTAAATAATCAATTCCCGCGAGATGGCGCCACGGGGAATGAGCAACCAATCAACAAAGAGAACATGGATTTTGAAGAGGAAAATGCGCGGGAAACCAGTGATAACGAAGGTAAAAGTGGCGCGCAATCGTCAAATTTCGATTTTTCTTTATTGCACGATTACAAGTGGAAACGAGGGCGTCTTCTTTATCCAGGAATTAGTAAAAGCGCCCACAAAAAAGTGCTCGTGGATGTCGGATTCAACCAAGTTGTTCATTTTGTAGAAAACCGATCTTCGGAAAATCGAGAGAAAGCGAAGAAGTGGAAAGAACAACAGAAAAATCAAGATGGAGACGAAAACGAACGAAAGCAACAAATACCGATCGACGAAAACGAAAATAATTTTGTGGTTGAGAAAAATATGGCATCTAAAGAAAACGTCCATGTAAACCACAATACAGACAAACAAACCCCGGATGAAACGGAGCAAAAAACATCCCCGTTTCATTGCGATAGTTGTGGAAAAGATTTCTCTAACATGTGGATTCTCAAAGTTCATGAGAAATCTGTTCATAACATGGAAATGTCGACTGAAATGCTGCAAGAATTTGTAGAAGGGTACTCAAATTGGTATTGGGATTGCGCAAGGAAAGATTTAGAGAACGTCAATAACACTGAATCTGACTTAAAACAATTTAGCAGTAACAACGCCGCTAAATCGAGCAGTAATAATGTTGATTCAACTGGTATGTCACCGAGACTTGTACCGTCCAGCAACCTATCCGCTCCAAATATGAGTGACATTTCACAGATAGACGACGGTAAAGATTTTCAACATAATGCTCTTCAGGCTTTGATGAAGAATTATCCGGGGATGCTTGGAGCTTTTGGCGGTGCTAATTCTACTCAAGACGCGCATACTCAATCTGCAGCAGATGACGCACAATCTAAGATTCAGCAGCAAATGCTTTTGCAATCGTTGATGACGGCACAAACCCAGGCAATGCAGCAACAACAATCTACTAATCAGACCCAGGGTTCCTCACAAACAAATGCTTCAAACATAATGAACATGCTCGTTGATCATATATACGGAGCTGCAATGCATGGCTCAACTCCTGGTTTTATAGACCCTGTCGGTGTCATGTCTCTATTACAGCAACAACAACAAGCTCGCGTTCCAGCGGCGGGCGTGAATCCTTATCAGTGGCTAGCAATGAGGTTTATGCAACAACAACAATTACAACAACTTCTAATGTATCCTGCAATGACCGGAGGGGCGGCTGGGATGCCGTTTTTACCAAGCCTAGCTGAAAACGCGAATCAACAACAAATGCTCGCTTCTTTTGCTGCAAGTTTGCTTAATCCTAATTCATCGTCCCCTGATTTGAATAATTCAGTAGTTAATAATCCGTTGTCATCCGCTTTGCAAGCGTACCAACTTCAAGCAGCCGCTGCTGCGTCTATGACTGGTGAATCTAGACCCGGAGGAAAGGATGCTGAGCAAGATCCTAACAAAAGTACAATAGTTAATCAGAGAGAATCTTCCAATATCAGCCATTCTCCTGCATCCGCGGAACTTCCTGCGAAGAGGCCAAGAACAAGAATCACTGATGATCAGTTGAAGATTCTGAGAGCAAATTTTGACATTAACACCTCACCAAGTGAAAATCAAATTTCTGACATGGCCCACAAAACCAATTTGCCATCCAAAGTCATCAAGCATTGGTTTCGTAACACTCTTTTCAAAGAGAGGCAACGCTCTAAAGATTCTCCTTACAATTTCAATATTCCTCCCATGACGTCACTAGATGACGTCAAAAGGGAACCACTTAGTTCTAGTGACAACTCTAGCAACGAAAATGCAATCGTGGAAGAAAAATCACAAATAGTGAAAGTTGAACCAGAGCAAAACGAAATTGAAGTTGAAGTTTCAAGAGAAAACGAATCTCATCAAATGTTCACAGATTCAGTCGATAAAAGGGAGGAGTTACATGGGGCCACATCGTCCGCGAATGCCCCGATTCATTCTACAATGTCGCAGAGTCAAGCAATGCAGATTTTGAAATCATTAACAGAACGAGGCAACCTTGCTAATACTGAGGCAAACAAGTCTATTTTTGCAAATGCAATGTCGTTAGTTCCTAATGTTACATCTGTAAGGGATAATCACTCCCCTGTTGGATCTACAAATTATTCTTTAGCGGCAGATCACCGTGCTTCGAGTGACAGCAACGATCACAACAACACGTTTGCGTATCGACAGGAAACTGCAAATTCTGACGCTTATAGTTATGAACGAATTGCAAACGTGTCCAATGCAGATTTTAGTTATCCGATTGGTACACCTGGGCACGCGAATCTTGCTTCAACAATAAGTAGGCGAACACCGCGTACGCGATTCAGCGACTACCAGTTGAAAATATTGCAAGAATTTTTTGATAAAAATGCTTATCCTAAGGACGAAGACTTGGACAAGTTGTCAAGATTACTCGATCTCAGCACACGAGTGATTGTAGTGTGGTTTCAAAACGCCCGCCAGAAGGCTAGAAAGAGTTATGAAATGCAACAAAGTGGGATATCAGCTGGTCATCATACTAACGGTATTCAGAATCAATCGAATTCGTATCTTACCCGACGCCCATCTCCACCATTGAGTTCGTCAGTCGACCAACAAATGTCTTCTATGCTTTCTACACAATCTCTTGAGATGGATTTATCGCCAACGGCTAAACATAGTCATCAGTTTTCACATGATGTCGCAACGCGTGCTTCTGTTCTGCAAGATATGAAACGAGAGACTCGTGCTGGCAGCCCAACTGAACCCAATTACAAATGCAATCAATGTGATGCGACGCTTCCTTCAGCCGTAGCATTGTCACAACACGAAAGACTTCATGATATGAAGCCATCTGCTTACATAGAAAACGTCATCCAGCAATATAGGATGTTTTATCCATCGATAGTAGAAGGGATGTTGCAGGGATCATCTGGGAAGGATTCTCATGAAAAATTTGAAATTGAAGCAAAAAATGAATCTCGCCGGCCTTCAAATAGTCCTCCAGCTGGTTTCGAAAGCGAGAGACGGAAACTATCCTATAGTAAAGAATCCGAAACGGTTGAAATGAAGCCGCATATTAAACAAGAAACAGGCCACGGTATTGAAGATATAATAAATCGTTTTAGTTTGCCTCAGCCTCGTGGGGGTGTAAGAGAAAAGAGTCATTCGTACGAATCGAAGATGAACATACCAGCGAGCAACATGATATCTCAAAATATAATGACAGCACAGCAGTATATAACCCAGAGAGACAACGCAATGGCCGCGAAACGAAAGCTCAGTGTTTCGCCAACACTTTCAATGTCTTCATCTTCGTCAACAAGTCCTAATTCAGCAAGACAAAATATGGGGCGTAAAGGTGAGTTTTGTTTCGTTTGAGAATTATAATTTGTAAAAACGCTATTTTCAGTAATATTTAACATTTGTTTTCAAATTCCAGTTATCAATGATACTTCGAAAGATCCTAAACGTCTTCGCACTACAATCACTCCTGAACAGTTGGAATTTTTATACCAGCAATATCTGGTTGATTCTAGTCCAAGTAGGAAGGTGATTGAACAGATATCAGACATTGTTGGACTGAAAAAGCGGGTTGTGCAGGTATGATATACCTCAATTAAGTTTTCTTGTGATCATTCTATATTCAGAATTTGCTGTATTATCAAAGAATTTTAGTCAATTTACATGAAATTAATGTAGTTGAAAATAGTGCTTAGAGAAAGCCCCAAAGAACCGACCCGTGGTCTCCAAAGGGGTCAAGGGATGAAACCCTGGGTTTGACCCTATACTAGTTTATTTTTACGTATGATTATTATTGAAAAATAATTTTCTCTTCAAGTTGAATTCCTGGCAATTTCAGGTTTGGTTTCAAAACACGAGAGCACGAGAAAGGAAAGGCCAATTTCGATCTGTAGGCCGAATCACTTCTGTCCTGGGCATGCCTCAGATATGCCCACAATGTCGCGTCACGTTTCGAACAAAGGCGGATCTCGATGCTCATATAAGATGCAGACATATGCAGTCACCATCTTCGATTCCAACATCGTCCGCATCTCAAATGATGACGTCACCCACAACGTCATACCCGGAATCAAAGTAAGTGACGTCATTTTCCATTTGATTTGAAAATTTGTCTCTTATGTTTTTGTCTATCTGTTATCGTTTAATCTTTCTTTGATTAGAACAACATTTGGTGCCATCTCGTCTAGCAACAGTCGTTTGTCAGCTTCCGAAATTTCTTCTGCGTCATCAACTGCTTTGTTTAGATTGAATGAAACGAAGAGAGAAATGTCCAAGAAAAAATTCAAGATTATAAAAGTATCATCAGTAATATGCAAAAGCAATTGAAAGAAAAACAGGTCGCAGGTGAGACTAGAATTCATTCATATATACCAATGTTGGCGAGGCACGAGTCATTGACTCGACTTAAACTCTAGTCGAAACTTATCAGAAACTAAAAAGTAACTAGAGTAGGTAATTGACTTGACTCGAGATGGCGACCTGACTCTTTTACCCAACACAGAGTGGTATCAAAATTGAATTTGATATAGACCGGTGTTTACCATTAAAACCACTAACTACGCGAGGCTTCTGATGCTTCTTAATTTATCACATTCGTTCTCTTTTCAATATAGATCAGACTCACGTAACAACTTTGCACGGATCAACTGCTGGTAATCCAATCACATCTAATGCACACGCACCATTTGTCAATTTAACGTTTTCCGATTCAACTCCAAGAGACAAGATCAACGATTCTGCAGAAGGTCACGGAAGTAGTCCTAAACGTAGAAAATTATCTGAAGAGAATCACTCATTCGATACAACAACATTTGCATCAAAATTTGTGGCAACACCACGCACTGCTGATATATATAAAGCCGTAACTGAGCAGATTTCGAAAAGTAACAGCGTCGATGTGATAGCACAGAGACTGCAAGCTAAAACTGCTTCTTTGGCTCCCGAGGTAACAGAAAACAATGTCAAATCGTCGGAAGGGTTTGCTTTCAAAGTGGAAGATGCAATCCAAATGTCTTCTTCGCCTGTGATGATGAGTAAACAATCTATGGAAGGTCAAATGTTGTCCTCGCCGCCAGTATCGTCTCCAGGTGGGTGCAAAATATATCTCACTGGTCACGTCTTGGTCACTGGTCTGTAAATAACAGAGTTGTGCAGCCGGGGAAAACTCGTAATCGACTCCTAACGGGTTGCATGAAGTTTTGTCTCCGGAACCGACTTAAGCAAAATTTCGACTCCGACTACAGCTTCGAACTCCGGGAAGTCCGATTGTAATATCGAAAACATTGGCGTAAGCCAGCCTTCGTTACCCATTTTTGAGTTTTAATAGGAACTAGGAAGGTTTTGCCTATTTTATGATCATTAAAGTCTACAATTTCGAATCCGGGGAATTGGGAATTTCGACTCCGATTTCCGAATCCGGATTCCGGAGACTTTAAAAATACGACTCCGACCCCACAACAACTTTATAGAAGTTTGGTGCAGTTTTTGATTTCAAACAAATAACATTTTGTTCAGAATCTCGGCCTACTGATTCCCTAAGCCCGTCGTTCATGGTGCCGTTGAAGCGTTACAGAACTCAGATGTCGTCCCTGCAAGTTCGTTCTCTCAAGCATTGTTTTTCTGAATATAAAACGCCAACTCTTCTTGAATGTGAGATGCTAGGTCAACAAATTGGACTTCCGAAGCGTGTCATCCAGGTAAGAAAGACTTGTATCACTCTACTTTTATGTTTGTTCTGTTTGTTGAATCGAAGCAGATTTTGCAAAATTGCCTTTGCTTCATAAGCAACCCAGCTAAAACATTTTATTGTATATTTCAGGTATGGTTCCAGAATGCTAGAGCAAAAGAGAAGAAAGCAATTGGAGATCAAATGGACCAGAATGACCAGGCTGAAGAGTAAGAATTTCTTTTTGTGAGAAATATATACCAACTTCACACATACACTTATCGCTGACCTCTTTTTTTATATATTTTCCCACTAGATCTTTGCAAATGAAAAGTTCATGTCGTCTTTGCCCTGAAATGAGATTTGGATCATTACAAGAATACAGGAATCATGTGTTTTCTAAAATACATCTCGGAAATTTTATGGCAGCTCATGACGGAGAAGGAAGCGGTAAGTGCTGTAGTAACATTTTACACTTGACGGAGTATACAATTATGAGTGGGCTGGCTTAGAACCCGAAAAGAAACTTTTAAGCTATTCTCATACCCGACATCGACGAGTAACCGGGCGGTGATTAAACCCTATCTCAGATAATAAACTAACAATTGCTCTGGGCTTCATTTTTGTGGTGGGCGGCTGCGAACAAAAACCAATTATAAACCTGATGATTGGTGCATTAGGCTAAACAGATTGCTTTTTTCTAGATGATCAAAGTTGTTCATCAGGCGCAAGAACGCCATCTTCCGACTTTGATGATAGTTCATCAAGAGACGCAATGTCGTCCAACGTCGTTGGATTCGAAAACGATCGTGACAACAATCAACAATTTGCATCCATATCTGTCCCCAATGACGTCGCTGAAAACAAGTACAGAATTTCAGCCGTTGCAACTAGCGACTCAACTTCGTCAATGCTGGACACACAAACTAAATCTTCGCACGGCTGGGACGCATCTGTACTGGCTGCTAACCCTGTATTGTTGCAAAGTTATCAACAACTTGCCGCTGTCCAGAAACTGATGGTAAGATAGCTATCATACTATCATGCTTTCGCGTCTTTTCAATGGTCGTTCTAGCTTCTTTCATGGCTTTATACAAGCAGACAGTTTGAAGATCATTGTAGACGAACGTTCGTTACTGTTATCTTAGTTCATGAATTGTATTTTGCGCGGGGTGAGAAGTCAAAACAAATAAATCGACGAGATCGTTCGTTCTCGAATTTTCATGAACCGTGTCTGAAGACTCAGCGCTTGTTGGCACCCCTGCTCTTCTCTAAAAAATACCCATTTTTTTTAGCTTTCAACACAGTTCAGTTTTTTATGCACGACGTTCAATTATGAATAATTCCTACAAACAAAAGCAAAAGAATGATAACAGTCAAAAAGCTAAACAAATCTCGATAAATTTGCTTTAAATTAATGTTATCATCGCGAATCGTGGGCCCCCGAGAACCGCTCTGTGGCCCCATGATGGCCCGTTTTAAAAATCCCTGAGTTAAGACCATAACATTATCTTGGCAGAACGCGAAATTTTATTCCAATCTCTAACATTTTTCATTTTAGAATGCCGGAGCTGTTCAGAACGGAATGGACAAACAAAAAGAGGTGACTGATCAAGTTCAAGTTAATAGCGATATATTGAACACGTTGAAACAGAACTGGCTTCACAGGTTAGGGAAAGATTTTGAATGTTGTATTAAACATAACAAAATTATTTTTGCTTATTTTTTTATTTATGTTTTATTTAGACTCTAATGAAAGATTGTCTGCCGCATATTCCAAGCCAACTTCTTTAGATGGTAAGTAGTCTATATATTTTTTATATTGCCCAAATAGATTTTCTCGGTTTTTATCAACGCCATATTCCAGCAGTTGTTTATGCGTTTGGATTCGTCAAAATCCTTCACATTTAGATTACCTTATCCCAGTGGTACTCGTCGTAAAATAATTTCCAATGCGTCGCAAAATGCCAATCCCTTACTTATAAAATTACGTATTTATCTTATCTGTGCGCGCTGAGAACTAGAAATTGACGTTATGAGAAGTAGGACGGAACTGGATATATCGGATATTTAGTCGCATTATGATCGTTTATGTGCTCAAGATGACGTAATTGCAATAAATGAATTATAAAACTTATTGTAATTTAATGCCAATACAGTCAAATTCCCTTTCCAAGACGCTGCACAAACCGGAATTTTCGATTGTTTCCCTTTCATATTTACCCTCTTCCAGCTTATTACACTCTGGTCTAGATGAGCCTGAGATTTTTACCTGCTTAATAAATGTTTCAACGCTCTAGTTCAGTTGGTATTAAAACACTAGATACTAGATAATAAAAGATTTTACTCGCTGTCTGGTCATTTTCTTGTTACTCCAATATTTTTATCTATTATTTGATATTCACAGGGATAAGAAATTTCAACAGAAATCGAAAGCCGAAGTGGGAGATCTGGATTGATAACTCAACTTTATGAAGATGAAATTTCTTTTTATAATATATAAAATTACCCACGATTCAAGTTGGTGTGGTGATGGAGGTGAACATTGTGTATTATCTATCAGTTCAAAGGGCATTGTGCGCGGATGACCCGAAAAAATGGTGTCTATAAATATACAGTCATTAATCATCCATTTCTGTACTTGTGTATAAAATATACTTTGCTCAAACCCTTTTTTTCGTCAACATTTCTATGACGTCAACGCTTCTAGTTTTTGTTTTCTTTTTAATATTTATCGTGCCTAATTTTGGCCCTTTTGTCTGTTTTAGTGCTTTTGTTTTTTTCGATAGAATACTTTGGTTTTATTGCCTCTCGTCAAACTTTGATTGTGCAAAGTTTGTTTTAATGACGTCATATGTTTGATTACGTCATAATTTGGATTGTTGGTTCATAAGTGCTTTTTATTCTATTACTGTAAAATTTCAGTTACATATTTCGTGTCGTTGTTCCATTACTAGATGGCGCTCATAAGCAGCGTCCTTAATGCGACATCTAATGTCATATTTTTAAAGTGTGAATGGTGAACGGTCTTTTATCCTTGGGTTATACTTGGTACAAGTGTATTTAGGTGAAAATTATCGTCACAAACTGTATATGTTCCTTTAAAACTTTTATTATTTTATTGAAAATATTATTCCGCGGTGCCCAACACGTCTTGTGTAATTTTGCATAATTTTAGATTATTTTAAGCCTTTCTTGAGTGCTTTTGTCATTATTTTACACTTTTTTATTATTTTATTTCTCATTTTTATCATTATTATACATTTTTATTCATTTTCTTCATTAAATATTGCATTCCATCTCATTTGCGACAACAACAAAAAAATTGTGTCTAATTTTTTGCCTTTGGGTACAGTATCCACAAAAATATCAAAAAACACAAATTTTTTCAAATCGTCCAAGAATTGAATACATTCCAATAGATAATGAAATTATTTTTTCAAAAAAGTGTTAAAAACACACATGACGACATTCCCTATTAAATTGAGTTATTTGATTTGACGTAAGTAGGTATTATTTTAGTGGCATTCAATTAAATTAACAGTATTCGGTAAATAGGTATATTTTTCATTTTCTAGCGAAACATTTTGTTATTCAAATAATTAACAATCTCTCTCTCATTTTGATAAGTGATAAAACTGTTTGCGCGGATCGTCTGCCTGTTCTATACATATTTCATTTTCAGTATCCATTATTATTTACTGCGAGTTAAGAGACTTGTTCTGATTGATGCGGTAAAAGCAATTATTGACGAGAAAATTTTCAGTTTTAAAAAATTTGTTAGGTTTACTAGAATTGTACTGTAATTTTGTAATGACAAAATCACTTGCTGGAAATATTTTATTTTATTAGTAAAAATTAGGTCTCTCTACCCAAAGAAGAGTATAATTTGCTCCGATAATAAGTATAGAAAATTGATTAAAATTAAACCCGGTTGGGGCAGATATTTCCATGAAATTTTGGCGAAATTCCATTTTTCGTAATATTTTTCTGTTCGTAGCCTTGTTGATATTTTTAACATTTTACGGCAAGCCTTTAAAAAATAATAAAGTAATTTTTCACCACTTTATTATTTTTGTGCAATTTATTGGTTGAAATAATTGTTTGCAGTACTGCGGATTCGTGCAAGTTAATATGTTTGTGTAATTAAAAGCTTCATTATTATCATGCAGTGACTTATCATCATCAATAAGTGTATTTTTTTCACTGTAGTAAAATATCATCATTAATATCATTTTCATAAAATAGTCATTTTTTTATTATTTTCTTGCTTGCTACAATTGAATTAGCATAAGTCGTGTTCTATGTCTGAGACCATTTGCTCAAATTTTCAAAATGATTTTTTTGCTCAAAAATTGGATTTTAAATTTCAACTTTGTAGAATCGCTTCTGACTAGTAACAACATTCATTTCAGTAACTGAATATACTTCTGGGTTTGGGTTAAGACAGATACTTAAAAGTACAATTTCATTGACAATATTATCAAGGTTTTCAGTGCTTTCTGATACATGTCTGATTAGCGATGTGTCTGTATTTTTATTATTATTGCAAATTCTGTTTCTTTGAAGATTTCAAGACCCACGATGCCTGTAATGTATATTTTGGTACCACTGCTTTTCACACGTCTTTTATTATTTTAATTTCCTTTGGAATTTATGATGGATCTGATAATAAATTTGCATCTAGGTTATATATTTCGATTTTTGCCGAGAAGACTATTGGCCAATATTGGCCGTGTAGGTGGGAAGATCATATGGTAGAATAGTAATTTTGAATTGCTTCAATTATTTTTTGTATATTGGGAGTATATCGATTATCGGGAAGTTAGGAATGAAGGGAAAGCAAGCGGAGTAATTGGAAGTTCTAAGGATTGTTGCCTACGGTTATAAGACCACGCCGCTATCATTTAGAGCTTACTTAGGCTATGGCATCCAAAGGTAAATATGTATTATGAGGTCATCAAAGCGGATAAAATTTCCAATTCCGAAAATGAGCAAATTTAGTTGTAGTTTTCCCCCAAGTCGATGATTGGCACTGTGTCATCCGCGTATCTGAGATTGTTCATGTTGTGACTTGTGAAAACCTACTTTGACGCCTTCACGTGCTCTTATGTTCCCTAGGATCATTTTGCTGTAGATATTAAACAGGTCGGAGTGTCCTACTTTGTCAGGAGGTACAAGTCCTTTTGTACCTCAATCGCCCTTTCTATGAGGATCCTCAGGACAAATATGGCATTTCTGGTGCCTTCATCTGCTATAACAGGGCTACTCAACTATTCTCATCGAAAATCCGCATACGAAACTTCAAAATTATATCAGTCCGGTCTCTCAAGAAATTATATTTCGCCATCCTTATTCGCACACTTCCTCGACCGGCTAGTGATTAGCTAATCAAAATTATTTATTATGGTGTTATAGTTCTTTACATATATATTCAAAACTATAAAAGCCATTTTATAAAAGGAAACTTCAAAAGTGGGGCTAATGATCTAAAATAAAGAATTAGGTGCGGTCCGAATCGAATAACCGAGAGGTCCGGATTCGGACCGCGGTCCGCCAGTTGAGTAGCCCTGTGCTATAAAACCAAATTGGGTTTCAGATATTTCATGGAGGATTTTATTTCTCATTCTGTTCATCGGCATTCGTAAACATGACTTTTCTGAAATGGCTCATGAGGCTTATTGTGCGGTGTTGATCGCATTCAACTGTGCCTGTTTTTAGGGTATTGCAATGTAGACCGACTTTTTGAGGTCTCTTGGAATTTCGCATGTAGCGTGGATAGTGTTGTTACTTCTTTGATTCCAAACTTGCCTAGAGCGGTTAGCGTTCCGGATGGAATGTCATCGGATCGTGCGGCCTTGCACATTTCATCTTTTTGAGGGCATTTTGAACATCCTCTCCAATAATATGGGGACCTTTATTTTCATTACTGATGGTGGGTGGTGACCTCTGTCATCCCGATACAACTCTGTGATGTATTCTGACCTGTTAAGGATGCCCACCTTTTCTATAAAAATGTCTCCATTTCTTGATCGTAGGCACCCTGTTTTGTGCTGACACTTTTTTCCCTGTGACCTTTTTTATCTTTTGATACATAGTCATGGATTTATTCCTTGCGGTGTTCCGCTAGATAGTGATACTGAGACCTAAAATTTCGCCAATTTGAAGTGGATCATTAATAGATTGGATGATTATGGAAATGTCTTTTGCCCTGACTAGGCGTATGCGTTATTTATTTTATATTTATTACTAAATTTCATATTGTACTTTTTCAAGAGCATAGGTAAATAATAAATAAAATGTCATTAAAATTATTGTTTGGTTATCCCATAATAATATCCGCAATGCCAATGGCATAATGTAATGTACTTATTTTTTAACAGAACTAAAATAAGAACAAGATAGAGTTGATATCTTAATGAGTTCAATTTCGCGCGAGTGTCCGATTGGGTCCTTGAGTTCCAGAAGATAATTCCAACTCTTTAAAACATCTCAAGTATAACATGAAACCAATCAGATGTTCAAATTCATAGGTCGGATACGTTTAGGAAGTGGTAATCTCAACATACACGAACTCAATCATGGCTTTGAAGTTAGCCATTGATTAGTAATCAGTAGTTTATGTTTCCACCATACATAATGTACACATTGAATTTTATTATACTTCGTTTAAACTTGATCAAACGTAAATGCACATAGAAGCATGCTTTGGGTGTGATACATCTAAGATACACGTATATGTTGGTCCGGTGATGCGCTTCACCATTCGCTTTTAATAACCGGCAATAGACGAAGATGAATAGTCTGACTAATCGTCGTCGTTAGAATGACCTCATACAATTTTTTCTGAAATTTGCCTCCGTTAATTTTTAACATGCTTGGTTAAAGAAGGCTCGTGGATAAAATTGCTCTTTAAAGACGAAAAATGATCTTCAAACGATAAAGTCATTGTTTCCTCGGATAAAATCGTTGGAGTTTATCTAAACTCGATGCCGTCGGGGAATTTTGTTTACATTTATAAAAACAAAAGTCACCCACTCATCCGTTTTATTAATCTAAGACAGGAACCCAACTGGGTACGTACGTAAAATGAAGTCTTACCCCTGTTTGATATTTGATCCGCGCCTCGATAACGCCCCCTCAGTTGATTGGGACTTGAGGAAAACAATGGCGCTCTAGGTGGGTTTATATCAGTGTATATTGTTACGATTTCGACGGTGAAATTGAATAAATTCTTGTTTCATTTAATCAGAGTTATTTTTAATTTTTTGAGAAACGTGACCAAGTCTGGTCCATAGTTAGACCACGTCTAATAGACGCGGCCTAGCTATGGCCAAGCTTTGGCAAAATATAAGTACCGAGCATGCGATATGTGTTGTTTGTACACCTGCCAGATCACAATTGAAACAAAGCAAATGAAATCTAAGTAGCGTCTTGATTTGTGTTCGACTCGTGACGGCTTTTGATTTCGATTTTGTAAAGTGAATAGGTGACCGTTGGTTATGTAATTTCACAATATATAAATGGAAAGTGATGAATACAATCGGCATGTCTAAGAAACACTCATATTTTGGTCAATGTACAAAGCGATGTTTGATTTGATAGGTGTTTGTTTGCAACGATGTGAATATTTTTTGATTACTGTACATCGGGAACACCAATTAAATTATCGGCATGAAGTGGCACTCCATTGTAACTCACATAACAATATTGATTGAAACTATAACTAGCGATTTTAGAAACAAAATTCAATCAGTTTAAATCATGTGTAATCTACTTGACGTTTACAAAATAATTCCACTACCGGTACAATGCCACAATTATGTTGAAATAACGCCAAATGCATACCAGCCGTGGTGCACAAATCTGACTATATATATATCGATTAAAATGAAAGAGGAATGTGCTTCCAAATATTAAACATATCGATTTCTAGTTACCTGAATTAAACGGAAATAGGATTATTAATCAAATTATTGAAGAAATATGTCGTCACTCAAGATCATGATTAACATTCGTCATTCTGTGGTAGCAAAGCACTGTTTCTGAAAAGTACGTCAATATGGATATTCAAGGCCAATGAATATCATATATACATATGGAAATTAAGATACAAATTAGTTGAGATAATACCCAAACTTTATAATATTCTGGACCGCAAGTAAAGCCTTTTATGAGATTTTCTAATTGCTAGAGTTAGCATCAGAAAAAATTGTCATTCATCCGATCCAAGTAACAACACCAACCCCAATTAATAAGTTACATTTTTATTCTCGGCTAAACGTTTTCACAAACAGTTATCACAAACTGAATTGAAACTAGTTTTCTAAAAAATATCAACAGCAATCTTTCAAGACAAGGGCAAGTCATCTCAAGTCATTAATTTTTCGTAGCAAGTTTCGAATATTCATCATTGAGTTCCTAAAACAATGAATATGGCAGAATTATTTTGATGAGATAATATTATGTGGTATTGGAATACAGCGAAACATAAAATTAGTTTTACGTTTTCATTTTACAATTATGGAATGAAACGGCTTTTAAGTGGTTTATTTAAATAGCTGATTTTGGTATTACAAACCCAAAATCAACATTTCATAAACAAGAATAACATGGTAAACAAAAGTCAAATACATCAATTCAATCGATTTTATATGATACACGAGGCACAGAAAATATTCCATTGCCGCTCCTTCTATTTCACACGGATCTACGGGAGTGGCGAAAGATGCGATCGTCGAAGATCTAAATATTTTGGGTTAAACTATCTTGTAAGGGGATGCAAATTTGCACCAAAAGGATGCTCTGAGTAGAATAAGTATTACACAATGGGAACATAATATGTTATATTACATATTATGTATATTACCCTTGCTTCACCCTAATTAGAAACACCATCAAAAGGTTAAATAACAAAGCATGCTCAACTGACGCCAATAAGAGGTTCGAACTCACACGGGTGATGTCGATTGACAATCATATTATGCCTATGATCTACATGGAGTTGATGAGTTTCTAGGTTCCAAATTATGACGTAAAATGTGGTAGGCATCTAACTTGGCATTGAATTTTCAAAATATTTATAGCAAACGATGAAATAAAGCCGCCATGTAGTACGTGTTTCAATTTTACTCAATACGCGCTAAAATACCAGAATTAACGAGCATTTTAATTAATGATTGACGGATAATTGTTCGAAAAGCACTCCAGAAACCACTTGAAGTGGACAAAATTCCATATAATTGAGAATGTATAGTGATTTAATGGTTAAAAATTTGGCCTGAATTGATGTAATATCGCGTAGATGACTCACGAGTTGGATTATTAAAATATTTCATTGGAAAATGGTTCGATGGAGAATCAGGAATTCAAATCATACCCCAAAACATCCAAGTGCTTTGAATAGTTAACTACTGTAATTTTGAATTAGAATTTCTATATCAATTCAAAAAAAAAACAGGACCTATACAATCATTGCAAAAATTATATACATAAACGAAAATGCTAGTATATTACATAAAAATTCAAATAAATTTGTACGATTCGTAAATTTTTCCGGGGTTACGAAAAGGCATGCTAAAAATCGTCTTGAGGAATATAGTAATATTGGTTGAAAATGATTAACATATGTATGCACATATATTTATCGCGTCATATTACTTTCTTTAAAAAATGTCAAGATTATGAAGTAAG